GGGGGGGGGAGATGGATGAGGCGGGGGGAGAGGCGATCATAGCGCCGCCAGGGCAGGCGCTTGGTAACACAGCCCCGTGCACCGGCCGCCTGTGCGCGCCCAATAGGGCTTGGGTCGGCCATTGCCGCGAGACACTTCCTGGACGCTCCACGCTTCCGCGGCGAAGCCGGCGCATCCTTGAACCGTCGACAGCGCTCAGCAGTGACGGGTGCAGGCCAACGTGGCGCCGCAATGCGAACTCGCAACGAGGCACAACGGCCAGCCTCAGCAGTGACGTGGGGTGCTTCACCAACTCAGCACCATACCTCCGATGCACTTGATGCCCCATGACCCGGCCAACATGCTCGCGCTGATCACCATGTCACCACTCACCCGGCCATGTTCCGAGGGTTGCTGGTCAGTGAAAGACGAGCGCACCATCCCGCCAAGATTCCCTGCCTTCTCGCCAGTCCCCAACTGTCCCTGCAGTAGATCGCCCGACAGTTGCTGGCCAACGCTGCAGTGCCGCGGGCTTGTGTGCGACGGCAAAAATAGCGCAGCAACAGTGATTGCCAACGAGCTCTGGCGAGACACGCGTGCTTTGCACAAACCGTTCACTTTCTCGCAAAAAAGCCGCTGCGCTTCAAATGTGCATTCCGTGGTACTTCAAGGTGGTTGCAATTTTTATTTAGGGGCTCTTGAATACTCCAATCTAACCCTAGACGCCCAGAAATCGGTACGGTCGCGTAGGCACCCGCCAAGCAGCCTCGAACCAGCTTGCAAACGACAGGAGATGGAGCTCGAGGTTCTTTTAGAGGACCTGCAATGCAGGTGCGCCGCTGGACACGACCCGGCGTATTTGACCTGCTTGACCGCTTTCGCACTGCCGCTGCGCGCGGCCGCATCACAGCATAACGACCAGCTGCTGCGCAGGCCCAGGCCCACCGATGCCGTCGAGCGCGTCGCCGCGTATCTGGCGGCGCAGACGCGCGGGTTCTTTGGCAGCGTGTGCGGCACCGCGCCCGCCGCCTCGCACCCCTTGGCGGCCGTCCTGAGCCACCGATGGGTTGCAGAGGGCGCCCCTGTCTTCAGGCAAGGGGCGCCAGGCGACTCGATGTACATAATCCTCGGCGGCTACTGCAGCGTGTCGCGCGACGCCGCCCCCGGCGACGCTGCGTCCCCGCGCGCCTGCGCGTCCCGCACAACCACCGGCGGGGAGCCGCCGCCACCGCCGTCGCGGCGCGCGACGCAGGAGCGGCAGCAGCAGCTGATGATTCAGGGCCTCGCCAACGCGGGCACGCGACGCGGCACGTGGGACTCGCCTGCCGTGGCGGACGCCGCAGCGGACGGCGGTATGGGGCCAGCAAGCGACGCCGCAGAAACTGCTGGATCAACCTTTCTGCTGCCAATTATGGAGGTGCCACCAACGCCCCGCCGCACCACAGGTCAGCCACCCTATCGACTTTCCCCCCTGGACACTGCCACCAGCTGCTTTGCTCGCTGTTGAATGGCTGCCGCTCCGCACACCGTCACCTCGCCCGCGCACATCACTGGCATGCGTGTTCCAACGCCTCCTCACACCACCAACCGCCACCAGGTGTGGCGCCGTCGCCGCGCGTGAGCTGGCTGTCTGAGGGGGACACCTTTGGCGAGGCGGCGCTGCTGGATCCCTCGCGCCGCCGCGGGTGCACAGTCGTCGCCGGGGGCGGCGGCGTCCAGCTTGCCACGCTCGACCGCGCCGCATGGGACCGCCTGCCGACCGCAGCGCTTTGCGCTGGCGCTGCCGCTGCCGACGTGGGGGCGCCGCCGCGGGATGCCGCGGCCGCGGGTGCAGCAGCTGCGGCGGCCGTGGTGCAGCAGGCCGTGCTCGCAGCGGCGTGCCGGCGGGCGCTGGCGGCCCCGCCAGGTCAGCGGGCGGCCGATGACGTGGAGGCTCTCGCGGTGCTGTTTGGCGGCATCCAGGTGCGGCGTGGCCACTGCCGGGGAGCCTGCACACGCTTCCCCCCGCCGTGCACATACACTGTTGAGAAGCGTCTACCACAACAGTCAATTGGATGCACCTGCTCGAGCCCTGCTGGCCACGTTGCCCTGAGAGCATGCTGCTGCGCGGATCGCACCCGCCCGCGCCGACCGCACCGGCGGCACGCCCACGCCCCCGCAGGCCCTGTCGCGGCTGCCAGAGGGCGTGCGCCTGAGGCTCGCTAGGACCTGCGCCGCCGTTTCTGCACCCGCGGGCGCCGCCGTCTGCAGGCAGGGCGACAGGGGCGAAGCCATGTACGTCGTCCTCAACGGCAGCTGCAGCGAACGCGCGCGCGCCGAGCCCGGCGACGAGGCGGCGCCCGCTCCCCAGGCCGCGACGGCGCCGGGGGTTGCGCCTGTGCCGGCGCCTGCGGCGCCGGGGGCGCCCCGGCCGCCGCTGCGCGCGGGCGGCGGGCGGCGGGGGGCGACGTGGGAGGAGGCGGCATTCACCGAGGAGGAGAGGGCGCGGCTGGAGGTGGTGAAGGCTGAGCTGCTGGCCGGCCAACAGCACAGGGTGCGCGGTCTCGCGCAGACGATGCTCGCGCGCCGGCGGCTGCCGGCCGCTTCTGAACCGGTGTATTAGCCGGCTGTGATCGAATGCCTCGAGCACGGCTGCGTGTGTGCTCTATCGCACGCCCAGCGCCCGCCCCTTGGCGCAGCCCGCGGCTGCAAAGCTGATGTTTTTGCCGCCTGCGCTTGACACCGCTGTGACAGAAAACCACCCCTGGCCGGCCACCCCCCATCCCGGCCCCTCACAGGGCGAGCCGCCGACCTCTTCGCGCCCCGGCGGCCCCGGCGCCGCTGCAGCCCCCGGCGAGCGAGCCGCGGGCATCTGCGAAAAGGACTCCCTCTACTGGACGGCCAAGTACGTCCGAGACGCCTGCGCCAGCGCCGCGGCGTGCGCGGGCGCGGGCGGCGAATCAGACCCCGCCAGCTGGCGCGAGGTGGGCGGCCTGCCGCCGCTCGCCGCGGTCGCGGCGGCCAAGTGGCGCCAGGCCGTGCGCGACGGGCAGGCGCGCCACCTGGCGGAACGGCGGGTCGCGGAAGACGGAGAGGCGGAGGCGCGGGTGATGAGGGGGATGGAGCAGCTGCTGGGGAGGGGCGCCGCAAGGGCGTGGGCGGAGGCACGCAGGTCCGCCGGCGGGGCGGGGCCCGCGACTCAGCGGCCCGTCGCGGCAGCGGCGGCACCAGCAGCACCAGGGGCGGCCAGCACAGCCGACCGCGACACGGCGGGCGCCGCGTGCAGCACGGCAATTGACGGGGCCACGGCGGCGGCCATCGTCGACGCCGCCCAAAATCCGGACTGCGGCCTCGAAATCGGCGACACGGCGTCGCCCCTTGCCTCTGCGGCGCGCCGCGAAATCAGCCCCTTCTTATTGGCTGCTGAGCTGGCAGCCCGCAGCACGCTGCAGGGGGTCCTGGCCGACGTCGCTGCGGCCGCCGCGCGGCGCGGCCTGCCGCGGCGTCTGGGGCGCCAGGCGTCCCTCAAGATCACGCGGGAGCTGAACAGGCGGTGCGTGCGCGTCGCGCCTTGAAGCGAGGGAGGCTAGGGGGAGCCGGCCGGCGGGCTTGGCTGGAAGCGCCAGGCTGTGGTTCCTGGCGGGGAGGTGCATTTGATTGTGCCTCGGCCGTGACAGAGGCGCCGAAAATTGGTTGTGGAGCGGTGCCCCAACCGACGTGCCATGTCGGCTCGATCACCCACCGCAAACCCCGCACTGCGGGTTGCCCCGACTGTCGCACGCATGCAGGGTTGTGGGCGGCGCCTCGCGCAAGGGCTTTGGCAGCAAGGCAAGGCCCGACGGGCTCCCAACCGGCGGTGGCCCGGACGACGCCCCGCCGCGCGACGGCGGCGACGCCGGGCGCGGCACGACCGACGCTGAGGACGAGGGGCGGCAGCTGCGGCGCAGCTGCGACGCGGCGACGGATTTGAGGGCCGGGCTGGCAGGGCTGGCGGCCAGCGATTGGAATTCGTCGTGGGATGGGTCGGAAGCCGCCAGCCTGATGGGCAGCATTGACCTGGAGCGGTCGTGCCTGGCTGGCGCCGAGCAGGCGAGCTGGTGCCGCCTGGGCCGCGCCGACAGCGGCGGAGAGAGGAGCGACGGCGGCAGCGACGACGATGATGACGGCGGGGCCAGCAGTGGGGCAGGGTCAGGGGTCAAGCTTGCGGAGGAGCTTGGCAGGCGCTTTGGGGCCGTCCGGCGGGTCATCGGTCCCGGAGAGTGCTTCGGGGAGCTGGCGCTGCTGCAGCGCCGCTGCATGCGGCCGTCGACCGTCGTCGCGCTCGACCCGTCGCTGCGGCTGCTCGCGCCGCCTTGCGGCGCACCCGCTCTGCGCGGGGTGGCAAGCGACAGCGACGGCGAATGTCACAGCGCGGCCTTCGCCCCTAGAGGAGCCGGCCCGCGGGGCTGCGTCGAGCTGCTGCGCATCGGGCGGTCAACGTTTGACTCCGCGGTGCGCGCGCTGCAGCTGCAGGAGTTGGAGGATCTCCTGTCAGCGCTCGCGGCGGCCGGGCCGCTGGGGGCCCTCCCGAGGGAGCAGCTCACCGCCCTGGCGGTGTTCTGCCGCCCCGCGGCGGCCGCGCCCGGTGACGTCATCGCCGCGAGGGGCGGGCGCGCCGCGGCGCTGATCGTGCTGATCGAGGGCGCGGTGCGGCTGCTGGACGGGCCGCCGCCGCCGGCGGCGCCGGCGATGGCGGCGATGGCGGCCGCTGGCGGCGACGGGCCGCAAGGCTCGCCGGGCGGTGGCGCAGCGTACGGGCGCCGCGCGACGGCCGATCAGCTCGGCACGCGAGCCTTCGGGACCGCGGCGGCGGGCGCCGCGCCGCGCGCCCTGATGCGCAACGCGTCGCTGCCCGGCGCACGCGCGAGGCGGCGCGCGACGGCGGAGGGCGGCGGCGGGGGCGGCGCGGCCGTCCTGGGGCTGGGGGCGGGGTGCGTGCTGGCGGAACTGGGGCCAGGGGCTATCCTAGGCGAGAATATCCTAGGTGAAGATCCCGACGAGGTGAGTGATTGTGTTTGGAGACGCACTCCAGGCCTGCTGCGCACGCCAGGGATCCAGGCACGGCAAGAGGCCGCTTGGCGTTGGGGGCAGGCCGGCGCGCCGTGCCGCTGTCAAATGCGGCCACCATGTCGTGGATGGGCCCGCCTTCCGAAACTGCAAAGACCGCCTTTCAAAACTGCACAGCTCCGATACCAGATGTTTCGGCCCCTTGTTGCGTTGACTCAGGATCCGTATGAGTCAGATGCTCCACCAGGGGCCGCCCCCTTTGCCCCGCTGCACGCCGCCACCGCGGTGGCGGCCTGCCCGTGCCGCCTGCTGCTGATCGCCCCAGAGGACCTGCGGCGCTTCGGCAGGCAGCTGCGCGCGCCGCTCGCGGCGGCGTCGGCGCGTCGGCGCGAGTTCCTGGCAGCTAGGCGGCAGCTGCTGGACGGCACGCGCGCGGGGCTGGAGGCGGCGGCAGCAGATCTGCGTCGGCAGGCAGGGCTGCAAAGCAGCGGCGTCCGCGGCGGCGGCGGGCCGGCGGGGGGCGCGGCGAGTGCGGACGCCGGGCTTGCGGCGACGTGGGAGGCGCGCGAGGGCGGCGCCGCCGACGGCCTCACGCCGTGGGACGTGCGTGGGATGCGGGGGCTCGTGCCGCCTCGGCAGGACGCATCCTTGGTGGAACTTGCCGCCGCGGGGCGCCCCTTCCCGTCAGCCCTGCTTACCGCAACCGAACGGGGCGGTGCCGGGCCCGTCAGCGGCGACGGCCCCCAAGTTAAGGGCCTGGCAGCACGCGCGAGCAGCTGTGACTGGGCCGCAGCAGGCCAGGCCGCCGGCGTCGGGGAGCGCCGTGGCGTGGGTGCTACTGATTGGGCTGCCGCTGGCTGCTGGGGCGGCGGCCTGCCTGCGCTCGCCGAGAATGCGAGCTCTCTGGTGGCAGTGTTTGACCCCGCACCCACAAGATCAGAAGGCGGCAGCTCAGGCAGCGTGGCAGCAAACACCGCAGCGAATCGTGCGCCCGCACCAGCGCCGGCGTTCGAGGAAGGCGCCGGGACAGACAGGATGCAGGGGCGGGGCAAGGGGCCGTTGCCGCCGCAGCAGCAGGCGCTGCAGCCAGGGGAGCTGGAGTGGGAGGGCGCCCACGGTGCCCAGCTGCAGCGGGAGCAGAAGCCAAGGCGCTCAACATCCCTCGCTCGCGGCGGCAGGTGCGCTTTGCATGTTTGTTTGACCGAGGGTTGACTTTTCAGGAGCCCGGGACCTGCACAGCCCTGCGCAGGACAGTATTGTAGGCTCGTTGCCTGCAAGGGTTCACATATCATCGAGGCGCCATCCACCTGCCCCTGTTGCTTGATCTGCCCGCAGGACCACGCTGGGAGGCGGCTTTGTCACATCCTTTGCTGCCAAGCGCCGGGCGGATGTTGGTGGCCGCTGCTAGGGCGGTTGCTGCGATAGAGCGGCTGCGTGTAATCAAGGCGCGGCGGTTCGAGCGCCGCTGCACGTGCAAAGCTCAATCCCTCAATCCTGTATAAAGTGACCGCCACAAATCGGCCTGCGCCTTGCAGGGGCCACAGCGCTCATTGCAAGGTGAGTTTACATCTTGCCCTGTGTGGCCCGCCCCTTGTGCCGAGGCACAAGCGACAGGAGGAAGCAAAGTGCAGGCCTGTGACTTTGCCATCAAAAATCAAACACTGGAAAAGCATTCATGCAGAGCGTGTGGTCCCGGCTGGCTAGCTGGCTGGTACTCAAACAGGCCAACTGCCGAGGAACCATTTTGGCGCACTGCCAACCACGGGTGTGCTTAGAGCAGCACACCAAGGATGCAGGTACTCAGCAGCATGCGAGAGCAGGGAGAGGTCTTCACTCAGCATCGGCCTGGTACCTGGCGGTTGCGGAGACAGGTATGGGGGCCAGCCGCGGGGGTTGGTTGTGGCCTAAACAGAATGCCTGATTTGGGTACTGTACGGCACGCACCCTCAGATGCCGGAATCAATTGCACCTATCAAGCAACATGTGTGCAGCACAATGCATGATGCTGCCCACCCGTCCGTCTGCAAATCAATGGGGGCGGCATCGACCGCGCCCGCAGCAGCCGCGCGAGGCGGTGCCAGCCCCCAAGCTGCGCCCTCACCCGACGCCGGGCGACACCACTTTTGAGGGCAGCTTGGGGTCAGCCGTGGCATTCCTTTATTGGTGATATGAGGGTTGATTGGGGGCCGCCAGGGCAGAAAGGAGGCCCCGGTCAGCTGAGGCCTCATTAAAGGCGACTCAACGGCAGGAGGAACGCGGGGCCGCATCACCCCTGGCTGCCTGCATGGTCATTGAGCCCACGGGGCGCGCCGGCGGCGCGAAGGCTCACAGAGGCCCCTAATATAGAAAGGGACAGCAGGCCTCACCAGTCGCGGTTGAGCTCGCCCTGCATCAGCTGGGTCTGCCCCTCACGCTGTGCCTCTTTGACGCACACGCGACGCGGCAAGGGTGGAGCAGGGCAGGGCGGGGCGCGTGCCAGAGGGAAGGAGGCCGTCATCGGGCGGTGGCTTGGGAATATAGGGCATGGGTTGGGGACGGGTGGCCCCAGCGTGCCGGCTCACCCGGGTGCTCGCAGCAGAGCTCGGTGGGCAGCGCCTCGCCGTCTGCAGCTGCATCAGTGCAGGGCTCGGGCGCGCTCCAGCTGCGCCTGGCCGTCTCGCCGCGCACGGCCCTCTGCAGGTCGTCTGCCATGCTTGCTGTCAATAGAAGAGCGAAAGAATTCGCAAAGGTCGCGGCTGGAGGTTCCGTGAAGCAAACCGCGTGCAATCGCGTCGACAATCTCCGAGAAGCTAGCAGCATCGGCGCACCGGCAACACTAGAGGAAATATTTTGCAACTTTTGAAGACCACATATGGGCAGTTGAAGGTCTCCCCAGCTGCGGGGGCACGCTTCGGTGATGTCGCTGCTGACGTCAGCAAGCCAGGCTTCTGTTTGTCGTGCCGGCGTTGGGTTCACCACAGTTCCCGTGACGAGGATTACAAATAGACAGCGCTTTTACAGCAGCAGGGCAGCCTCCGCTTCTATTGCGGCCACCGCCGCCTGCGGCGCCGCTTCCTGTGCTCCCGGAGGCACCCGTGCCGGCGCTGCCGGCGCTGCCGCCAGCGCTGCTGGCGGCACCGGCACCCCCGCCGCGGCCGCCGCCGCGACCATCTCCAGCACCTCCGGCGCCCCCATCAGCCGCGCGAGCGCGCCGCGCAGCAGCACGTGGTTGCTGCACACCAGCCGCGCGAGCGCGGGGAACGCGGCGCGCACCTCGGCGCGCAGGTCGGGGCCGGGCATGCCGCGCAGGAGGTCGAGGGCGAGCTCAACCAGGGGGGCCCGCACCGCATGCTCCCAGCTGGTGCCATACAGGATGTCCCGCATCGGATCGTCCCCGCCACTACTGCTGCCCTTGACACCACCAACTGCCGCCTGCTGCTGCTGCTGCTGCTGATGGCGGCCGCCGCCGCCGAGGCTCGTGCTGCTGGCGGCCTCCGCGGATATGATGTCCCTGCAGAGCTGCTGCAGGCGCGCACGCGCGGCGGCGGCCTGCTCCGGGGTTGGGTCGCCGCGCTCCAGGCTGCGCACCAGGCCCTGGGGAGGGGGGGGCGCGCACACAGGGGGCGCCGCGTGCGGGGGAGGCAGCAGTGAGCACGAGTGAGAAAGCCGCCGCAGCTGCCGCCCCATCCCATGCAGTCCAGGCTGCAGCACAGCCCGGCATCGAGCCCGCCTGGCCAAACCGTGAATGAATAGCGCGGCCGGCGTCCTTTCAAAGCAGCCGCGCCCCTGTGTAGGCCAAGGCAGAGCGCCATGCTCCACACGCTCCACCCCACGATCACAAGGAGTGAGCGCCCACAGGCGAAGGAGGCGGCCAATGCGCCGCCGCATTCAACAAAACCCCACCTGGATCAGCTGCGTGCCGCCCTCCACCTCCAGCCTCATGAGGGCCAGGCCCACCACCTCGCAGCTCTCAGCGCTGCCCACCAGCAGCTCGGGCGCGCCGCCGCGCCGCGCCCGCGGGCTGCCGCCGCTGGCGCCGGCACCGCTGCCGCCGCCGCCCAGCGCGGCGCGGGTCGCGACAACCGAGAGGCCCACGCCTGGCTCGGCCGCGGCGGGGTCGGGCGGCAAGCTGCGGGCGGGCGGGTCTGCCGGAGCCACCGCGTTCGCCCGCCCCTCCGCTGCGGACTGTTGCTGCTGCTGCTGCTGCTGCTGCTGCTGTTGCTGCTGCTGCTGCTCCCCGTCTTCCAGCGGGTCCGCGGCCTCTATCTCAGCAGACGGCCCCGCGCCGCCGCCCGCAAACACCGGCCGCTGCTGCGGCCCCTCCCGGGCCGCCGCCCCGCCGTCCGACGCCGCGCCGCCGCCGCCCGTCGCTGTCACCGCCGCCGCTGCCGCCGCTGCCGCGGCCGCCGCGCCGCCTTCCGACAGCGTGGGCGCCCTTCCGCTGAAGGAGGTGCCGCCCTCCACCAGGCCCGTCACGCTGATGCTGCTGGTGGCAGACTGGGCTGATGCGAGGCCCGACGCATCCAACCACCCCCTGCCGCTCGGCTCCGCCGCCGCCGCCGCCGCCGCGGGCGGCGGCGCGCTCTTGCCCGCGCCCGCCTGCTGCTGCTGCTGCTGCTGCTGCTGCTGCTGCTGCTGCTGCTGCTGCTGCGAGTCGCCGCCGCCCTGGCGCGCGCTGCCGGCCGCGGCCTCTGCGTTGAAGGCCATAGCGGCCGCCACTGTGTCCCCGAGGACCCTCAGCAGCCGCATCTGGGCGTCCCACGACAGCTCTTCCAGGCACCGCGCGTGCATCTCCCCCAGCGCCCGCAGCAGCAGCACCAGCTGACGCGCGCGCACGCGCAGCGTGCGCAGCGCAGCGTCTCCGACGGCGCCGCCGCGGGGCGGCGGCGCGGGCGCGTTTGACGGCGCGCTTGTGCGGCGCGCGCGCTCGAGCCCGCCGTTCGCGCCGCTCGCGCCGCCGGCCGCGCCGAACCGCGCGCCGGGCGACCCTGGCTGCTGCCCCTGCTGCTGCGCCAGCAGCCGCGCCGCGTACGCCGCCGGCGACCGCGGGCTGCCCCCCGGGCTCCCGCCGCCCGCCCCCTCCGCCAGGCGTCCCGGCACCGCGCTCGCGGGGCCCGCCAGCTGCTGCTCCGCCGCCGCGGCCGCGGCCACGGCCGCCGCCTGCTGCCGCGCGAGCGCCACGACCGTCGCCACGTCATCCTTCGCCGCCTGTGACACCAGGTCGATGAGTAGCGCCCAGTGCTCGGTCCCTCCGACGCCCCCGCCACCGCCGCCCGCGCTGCGCGCGTGGCGCAGCGCGGCGAGCGTGGTTGCGAGGCGCAGCAGCGCGCCGAGGCCGGCCATTGCCAGGTGCTGGGAGGTGTGGTGGTACCAGATCATCGAGATCGCCGCCAGCTGGCGAATCAGATCGCCCTGGGGTTTTGGAAAAACGGGGCGAAGCGGCGGGGCCCCGGGGGTGAGGGTCTTGGGCGTCGGCGGGGCACGGCGGCGACGCCGGTGCCAAGCAGGGGGGGCCCGGCGGCGCTCAAGTCGCGGTCGCCGCGCCGGCACCAATGTGATGGTCCGGGCCTTTCAGGCTCCGTGGGCGCAGCTGAGCGTCCCCCTTCGGCGGCCAACCGGCAAAGGGGCCGCCCCGCAAGACCGCCCCGCTGGCGCCGCGCGCGGCTGTCGCAAAGCGGCTGATTTCGGAGCCGCGCGGGACGAGGGCGCAGCAGCCCCGCCTGTACGCACCAAGGTGCCGCCCAACCCGGGCTGCCGCCTACCTGGTACTTTTCTGAGATCAGCCCGATCTGCTCGCACAGCAGCGGGAAGTAGCGGTCCATCCGCCGCAGCAGCGCCAGCACCAGCCCGTCCTCCTCTGCCCGCGCCACCGCCGCCAGCTGCGCCGCCGCCGCCGCCTCCCGCGCCTGCTGCTGCCCCGCGCCGCCGCCTCCCCCTCCCCCTCCTCCTCCGCCCGCCGCCGCGCCGCCGCCCCGATCGCCGCCGGCGCCGTCCGCGCCGCCGACGCCCGGCGGCAGCGCGAGCATGTTTTTCACGACGCGCTGCAGCAGCACGCGCCACGCGGCGTCGTCCCAGTGGGCGCTGTGGTCTGACAGCAGGGCAAACAGCACGTCCAGGGTCGCCTCCGCCAGCTGGGGGCGGCGGTCGTGCTGCAGGACGTCTGACAGGGTGCGCAGCAGCAGGC